TCAAGCTTCAGTCTCTTTGAGGATACCCTCTCGCAAGTGATGATGGTATTCCTACTCTTCAAAAATGCATATTTTAGCTTCTTTTTAATATTAAAGTTGGCGAGGCTTCAGCTTTCATGCCTTCTTTGGGTGTGGTATCACTTCACGAGGTCTTGATATGTTGTCATATATTGTCAGCAATTGTAGAGGCTATGGATTTACATTTGGTAAGTTAATACTATCTTTTTGAAGTGTTACACAAGTCAATGTAAACATACACTGGCATCTCCTTGTGGAGGTGATTCACTCAGATGTACTCATTTTTATGGTCATAACCATATAGTTGATTAAGTGTCGAGAGCTACATGGTAAACATGATTCGTCATCTCAAGTATTTTGCAATTCAGATGGCCCTAATTTTGGTTGCTCTTTGATATGAATAAACATAAAGTATTTTGAACTGCTGAAGTATCAATTTTTGTTTGTTAAATTTGGAATGACTCATAATTCTATAATCAGTCATTCAGGCTGTTGTTTGGGTTGAGGTCATCTGTGTGCTATATTAGATATATGGTATGATGGATGTAGGAATTACTCAACCATGAACACAGGTATCCTTACTTAGGCGATGCCACAAAAGGCCTTTGGTTTAAGAATGTCATATGTTACTGTGCAAACTATTTTAGGCAATATTTCTGAAGGTTTATATGAAGTAAAAATGTAAAATTGAATACTTAAAAAATGGTAGAATCCATTACTATTTTTAGTTTATTTGTAATTTTTAAGAAGTATGATTTAAGTAAAGATGATGATCATTATAATTCAAGTGGCAACAAGGTTGATCTAGATGCAGCATTTTGGAAAGATATAGTCTAGAGTTCTGTTTTGACTATGCCAAATTTCTGTGTCTAGGAGCAAAGCCTGGGCATCATAGTTGGTGCTCGTACTGAGTTAAATAACTGTATTGTTACCATATCTCATGGTATTAGCATTTTTATGGTCTGCTTAGTGCCTTATTGAGCCTTTCGTCTTTAAACTGCAAGTTCTGTGAACCCATGTTTAACGTATTACATATGTATAAGTATAATAGGGATGTTTACAAAATGGATCAATCATAATATATGTATAGTTAAAAGATTTGGATAAATTCAAAAAATTTACTTTCTGAGAACCTTAGACAATGTGAAAGGTTCCTTGATTTATTTATTTATTTATTTATTTTTATGTTTTTATTTTTTTGCATGCTGACAATGGTTATGCAAGTCCTTAGTTAACTCAATCTTCATCTGAACATCCTGACATATAATTACCTCTAAACCTGCATTGTCTATGTATCTTTTCTTTAGCACTGCTGGCTTTGTAATTAATACGTTATCTTTACTCATCATTCGTGTATTAGATTGATTCCCCCAGTGGTATCATTTATTAACTTAGTGCATGTATTAGCAGTAAGTTCTGTATTTTATTTTGTCTTTAAGTATCTTTAACTGACTTTACATATTTATTTGTGAAGGAGACTGGAAATGCAATTAAGACGACGTGATGTTGAACAATGGATGAGTCATCGACGCTTACCAGAACGGTTGAGGAGGTACAGTGGCATTTCATCATCATATCTCACATTTAATACAGCTATTTTTATAGGGATTTTCCAATTTTGTTTTCTAGTACTCCCTGTGATTTTCATAACTGCATAAACTTATTTATTTGTTTTCCTTGAGTGTAGCCGTTTTAATTAAAATGATTTAATACTTGTGTTATTTAACACTGCTCCTCCTCTTTTTTAAAGTATAACCTTGCAATCATATGTTAGAGGGTCTGCCCTTCTTTGTTTTTGGGTGCTAGCGGGTCTCCTTTTCAGTCACTTGCAAAAACTTGTTTAATTGCAATATCATATCAACTATTAAATAGCAAGAACAGTTTGTGACTAGCAGTACATTGAAAAGCTCTAATATCACCTGCTTAGATACTTCAGTAAACAAAAGGATGTTTGCCCTTATGTATTTGTTGTATGTTTGTACTCATTACAAAATTGTGGTTTGCTCTAATCGGTGTATTGGATATGGCAGTAAACATGGCTATAGCTTTGATTTAAAAAAAAAGGTCAAGCATAAATCTGCCACAACATTGTCTTTAATGAAACTCACTTTCCATTTAGAGTTGTAGTTCTGTTGTTCATTAACTGGCAATATAATCTTGCTCGACACTCCCGATTCAGCATGACAACTGTTTTGGCTGGTTCTATGTAGTGCTCGGAGATGATTGACATGTCCTTAAATCTAGAGAATTAAAAAAAAATGAACAGCCTAGCTGGAACCTATATAAGATTTTGCCATCTTTCTTCTTGTTACATTAGGAGGTCATACAGAGAGGGTAGGGTTTGATGCTCCATGCCAACTCGCCTTTGGCTTTGCTCATATTCTTTTTGTTAAATCGACATCCTTCAAAAACTCTATACCACGTTATATGGGTCATATTTCCTTTTTATTTCATGTTATATCATCCAGGAGGATCAAAATATGGAGATTATAACAGCATGGATTTTTTTAAAGCTGCCACCTTAAGAAATATAGAAAGTATGATTTGGGTTGAAAGAAGTACTGGTCTGCTAGAAAAGATCATTTTGTTCGTGAATATTGTTTCCTTTGTTTTCCATGTTTCATCAGAATATTAAGTCTGCTAGGAAAGATCATTTTGTTGGTGAATATTGTTTTCTTTGTTTTCCATGTTTCATCAGAATATTAAGTGTTATGAATACTGCTTAATTATTGAACATTTGCTGATAGAGTTTTTCGATACCATGCAATTAGATTAGTTTGTTTGTATACCATCTAATAGCATGTCACTTACATAGCTAGTTTGGTTAGTGGTTGCGAGTATTTCTTATCATTTTTTTGTTTTGAATTGAATTATTCAGGCATGTGAGGCAAGCAGAAAGATTTAGTTGGGCTGCCACTCGAGGTGTAGATGAGGAACAGCTACTTGCAAACTTGCCAGAAGACTTACAAAGAGAGATACGACGCCATTTCTTTAAATGTCTCAAACAAGTGAGGTTCCAAGATCATATCTCATTTTCTGTTTTTGGTGAAATGTTTTTTCTTTATAACTTATGCTGAGCAGTCTTTGGTAGTTGCTAGAATGCTATGCAAATGAGAAGACAATGAATTGAGATCTCTGTTATTTCTTGCAATTAAATGGCTATTACTAACCCATTAGCATTTGAAAACTAATTTTTCGAAAGTGTATCTGACAATGATTTGAGGGCTCTGTTATTTCTTGCAATTAAATGGCTATGGCTAACCCATAAGCATATGAAAACTCATTTTTCAGAAGTGTATCTGATATAACCATATTTCCACAACATTTTGAGACTTTATTTCAAAATGTTAGATGAACTTTATGCAAGTTTTTAAGAATTTTTTTAGAATGGTATCGATAGTAATGCTTCAAAGTACTTGAAACATCCAGTCGGTTTACTAGCAGTACATAGGATAACGCCTGGTTGCTAAATTTTAAACATATAGGATGAATAGTGGTTTCCAGTTTGTACTGTTATTGGCATAAAATGTGAAATCAGTCTACGACTTTCTTGAAGCAAAGTATATGCCAATATTTGAGATGAAAAAGCATATAGTGCAGTGCTTGACTCTATATCTTGTTATATGTATACCGTTAAGAATAAAAGAAAAGTCTTCTCTAAATTTCGGAATCTGATTCTTGTACAAAGTGTATTACTGTGATTGCCAACACAATGGCAGCTGTGTTTCTCTGCACTTGGACAATTTTGTGTTTGACTGTTTTTTATCGTCATCTAGGTACCAAAATTCAATATACCTAAATTAACCTTGCTATTACATTTGTTTATACCATTTTTGCATGGTATGTAGTTCACAACCTATGTATCCTAACAAAACACGTTTGCAATTACCTAGGACCGTTGTGATTATTTATCTTACTCTTTATCCAGGTACGCATTTTCACATTGATGGATGAGCCCATTATAGATGCCATTTGTGAAAAGTTAAGGCAACAGTTCTACATAAGAGGAAGCGACATCCTTTATCAAGGGGGTCCTGTTGAAAAAATGGTGTTTATAGTGAGGGGTAAAGTGGAAAGTATTGGAGTGGATGGGCATAAAGCTCCTTTGTCAGAGGGAGATGTTTGTGGTGAAGAGCTCTTGACGTGGTACCTTGAACACTCTTCAGTGCATAAAGGTAATATGTGATTTCGACCTTCCTTAGACTATGTGCTATATCACTGCCTACAGACATGGTAACTCCAACCCAGTATTATCATTTATCATTATCGACATCATCACCATCATCATTATTATTAGGGTTAATTGCGGGTAGATCCCTCTAGTTCTACTGTCCGATACTGGCCCCTTGAGTGAAATTCTTTACCCTCAAGAAGTCTTCATCAAAAAACAATATTCTCTAGCTGAGGGTAAAAGAGCCTTAAAAAATTCATTCAGGGGTTTTATCTGCAACAATAGAACTACATGGGGTCTATCCACAACCGGTGATAGGTCAGGAGGTCTATCCGCAATTAACCTTGATTTTTATTATTATTTTGATAATTTGCTATACTAAGGGAGCAACAAAAGAAAGGAAAGGACAAACAAGTCTGCACGAAAATTGATATGAGAGTTATGCATGGCAGTGTTGTTGCGTGGATTTCACTTGTTATATCAAGAGCGCACCATTTGTTCTCATGGTTATATGCTATTAAACTTAAGTTGGTTTAGAGAAAAATTAGCTTATTTGCTATCTTGTGCCTGAGCAAGTATAGTTGAAAGTTCTATTTTTTTTATCCAATTAACATGATAGTAATGTTTTTCATTGAAACTTATATTATGCTTCTTTCAAGTTTCTGAATTCTTACCTATGGACATGTTTGTACTTTCCATGGTGCAGATGGAGCAAAAGTTAGGTTCCCTGGACATCGATTATTCTCTACAAGAACAGTAAAATGTTTAACTAATGTGGAAGCCTTTGCACTCCGAGCTGCTGACCTTGAAGAAGTTACTGTATTATTTGCAAGATTCCTACGCAATCCTCGTGTTCAGGGAGCAATTAGGTAGTTATAAGCTGCTAAAAAAAATTCTATTCTTTTGATACTAGGAAAATATACACGTCCTTCTTTGAAGTTACATAGAGCAAATAGAAGTTATACTTTCATCTATATTGATAAAAGGACTTGATTATTTAAAGAAATATTATATTTTTTTTTCTTTGTGGTCTTTAGCATTAACACGGTTATCTTCTTATTTAAAGGTATGAATCACCATACTGGAGGAATATGGCAGCAGTCCGCATTCAGGTTGCATGGAAATACAGACAGAAGAGGTTGAAGAGAATTGAGAGCCACAAAAGTGGTTCAAGTCACTCAACTTCATGCACTCGCCGTTAATAATTAGCTGCTTAGGTATCATGTATATACTTTATGAGTTATATACGGAAGTATATTTTTGCCTTCTCGTATTTTCTTATGTAGTTTAGATGGAGTACATCCGCTTTTGTCGAGTCCTCTGGGGTCCTTGTATTCAAATATCATGGAAAAGTTAAATTATTGAGATTTTGCTTGGAATAAAAGATGGATGAGTATTTTTACAGGGGCTTGCCTTGCGTACAAAGGGTGTTTGTTTATAGAAGGATACTCAGCTACGTCAGAGTTTTGTTATTAGGAAGCGTGAAGTTTTTTATCTTGTTCATTGTGATTTGCAGCATATTGTGAACTCGTAAGCATCAAAATCCCCTGTTTTAGAATTCTGGTCTTAATTTCTGATGGAAAAAAGCTGCAAACATTGTGATCTTGGATCTTATTAGATTTGATAATGTTGCGAGATGTCAGCAACTCATGATTAATGATGATTGTGTCTCGACCAATAAGTTGCTAGAGGAAAAACCCATGGCTTATCAATGGATATATATTAAATCAATCCTTCCAAAAAATGCGTATAAATATATTTAGGATTTTGCTAACCATTGCTGTTAGCATAATGGTCAAGTAAGAGAGAGAAGAGAGAAAAATGAGTGGGCCCCACTCAGTTATTGTTTGATGCATGCTAAACACTTGGAAGTATTAGATACTTTCTTGATAGCACTCATATTGTACAACAAAAACCACGATGTATATTCCGGTAAATTTCCTCATCTTTTCCAACATCTCAAAAAATTTTTTTACCACTCAAAAAAAGTGTTTTACCGATCTATTTCATTAACCGTATTGTTGTATATCCGGTGGATATATAGACGTACATATAGAGCTATACATCGTAAGTTAAATCCTAACCCTCGAACCTTCATTACATATTCTGTTGTCATATGCTCTTGATCAACAAACATGAGAAACATCTAAATCCTATAATCAAGGATAAAATTGAGTTGTCATATGCTCTTGATTAACAAACATAGGAAACATGTAATCCCATAATCAAGGATAAAATTGAGCAAAGATATTATTCTCATATTATCTTCTAATGAGAGACTAAATGAGCCCTAACAAATTAGAGGTCGGCATTTTCTTAGTCGTACTACTTCTTATCCTTCACTGAGAAAAAAAAAAGAAGGCTACAAAAGTGGCGCTGAGCCCTTTTGTTCGAATTCCAACTAAGCCAATAATTAAACAAATAATTATTTACACATAAGATTAACGTCGAACATGTTGCATGCATTAATAGTTATGTGGTCTAGCTGTGATTTAATGTATATGCGCAAGATTTTAAGTCAAAAGAATCGAACAAGTTCTGAAATGATTTTGAAAATATCTCCGTTCTGTAAACGTTACAGTATAAAACATGTTATATTTCTAAAGATGTGATAAAATTTTCAAAAAAAAAATATATATTCTTTAAATGTTCATCGAGCCCAACTATTTGTCTGTTAACAAGCTCTGTGCACATTGAAGCAGACAAAATGTCATGTTCTGCATTTTCTCTCCAAATGTTTTTCTTAAGCTATAACACTCCTTTAAGTCAAAATTTGTGCACTACTCACCAAAGTGCAAAAACACACACGAACGATTAAGATTGAGAAAGTAATGTTTTGCGTTGTTAAAAGTTCACGAACGATTATGTTCTTAGCCATTCAGGGGACGGTACAGATTTCTAAACTATTCCCCTGACCTGACCTCCCATGGATGGCTAAGCATATGCCAAGCTCACATGCAGGTTGTTCTGATAAGATGCGTACTCTTTTCCAGTTACTCTAGTTCATTGCATTATTTATGCGCCAAGAGGAGACATCCAATTTAAAAGTCTCCTGAACCAAATGTAGATGAACTAGCTATCACAAAATACTTTCTCATTAAAAACGTCAATTACATACTGAGATTACAAATTCATAATCAGCATCCAAACTCAAACACACAAATTAAACTTGCACGGGCTCCCACACGTTCGGTCGAGCCCGGTGCATATTCGTAACGAACCGGCTCTACAACTTCTCCGGCACAGGAAAACCTGACCCCAGCCTAAGCTCATCCTATCTCACAACATTGCAACCCAACTGCCCTCAATCCGGCAACGGGGGCACGTTAGTTAACTTGGACCTGACAACTCCTGACACTTTCGACAAGAAAAGATAAGGCCTCCTACAGAGTGATCAGGAGCTTTTTCCGACGAGCGGAGCTTCGACTGCTTCGACTGTGAACAGCTTTGCTAGCAGTCGGGGTTCGTTCTTCTCGAAGTTTGCGACTTCGATGGTGAACATGGGGAACGTCAGTCCGTTGACAGGGGGTAATGGGGAGGTCAGGAAAAACTGTAGGAAGATTAATGGAAGTTGAAGGGGAGTGGAACTCAAAAGATGCATCGTTAAAGCCCTTGGTTTATATTGCTCAAGTGTGATCAGTGTGCGTCTTGTTTCCGTGAATTTTGTGATCAATAAACATTTCTCTCGTGTCTTGTCTACTAATGCACCAAGAATCTCCTGTCTTTTTTTTATGACAGCATTTTTATGCACAAATTGTTTGTCACGTAACATTCGATTTGGAAAAGATGCATCGTTAAAGCCTAATATTAAAGCGTAAATCACAAGACATTGTGCACATCACATGAGAAAACAGTGAAGAGTGGATAGACAACCCTCTTGTATCTTTAATAAAAAGATCTTGACAATTGAGGAGGAGATGCTGATTTGAATACAATCGACACAGCTCGTTTTCGATTAGTTTAATTAAAAAAAATATGAAATCATATGAATCACAGTTCACTGACAATAGTTTGCTATGGTATTGAATCCCTTCACCTAGGTACACACATTGATAATCCAGAATGGTTGCTCGCCTAAAAAAGTATCACACAGGATTACTTTCCTGAGGTCTCTGGAGAAGTGGTTGAAGGGCCTTCACGACAATCGTCATGTTCGGTCTGAAATCAGATTCATACTGAACACAGAGAGCCGCAACCGCTGCCATCTGATGCATTCCAATTACAAGAAATTTACATTTATAGACTTTACTAATTTCTGTCTCCAGAAATTATTGCATGTAAAGGAAAATGAAATATAAGTCAACTTTTCTTTTAACAGAATGACATGATAGTTTGGAGTGGTGTCCTTTTTTAATGTTTCGGCATCTGCGAGTGAGATTGGAGATTATGTTGTCAGAGTGTAATTGCCTTTGATGTTTATAACGAAATATTTTTAATAGAATTGTCATACAGCTTTACAATTCACAACATGTAAGTTAAAGACTCAAGAGGTTTAGGCACTTCCTAAGCATAGGTCTCATAAAACTGTTTATCTTCAAGTTATAAACATTGCTCCTCTTTAAGTTATTTATGCTTGTTTGTAAGCAATTTCTAAGGTGTAAGATTACCAGTGGTTTCCAATTTAGTGTCCCAAGATCTCTTCTTCACTGAGAGCATTCATGGTTTAAGATTTGCCTTTAAATTAATGGTATCAAGTACATGTTCAGATTGTTTACAATGAACTGAAATCAATCTTTGAAATAAAATAAATTAGGTGACACCTACTTAACCATGCAGTTTCTTACTTATCACGAACCTTTACTCATATATTCCATCCAGTAGATACAATAAAGCATTAATTTGCGGTGAAAGCATTAAAAAAGCATGAAAACAGAAAAGAGGGAATCAATAGAAAACTAACCTTAGCAACCCCCTTTGGTGGATATTCATCGTTCAATTTGGGGTCAACACATTGTCTAACTTTGTCTTCACTTAACCTTGGCGTAGCCTGTAGTATTGCAGCAATAAGCAAATTTCATTTTTAAGTGAAAGCGAGAAGCAAGTTAGGTACAGAAAAGAGAGCGATAATAGCTGCAGAAACTGTGATGTTATAGGAAACAGAACTTACCCAAGTTACAAGACTCTGCTGTCCCTTGGGCATTGTATGGTCTACAGGTTTTCTACCGGTTAAAAGCTCGAGAAGAACGACACCAAAACTATAGACATCACTCTTCTGGGTCAGGCATCCAGTCATTGCATACCTATAATAAATAATAATTCGAGGATAAGAAATGATGGTTCACAAGTCGAGAGATTTACTGTGACTCATCAAGTAGTAGTATCGAGGCATTTCTTTCTGTAGAACATTGTTTTATTTGGTTGGCCATTGAATTTTCTGCAGGCTTTGCAATTTGCAGATTAAAAAGTGGGAAAGATTGTGGCCCTTATGTAGTGTAGTAATAAGTGGTTAAATGTCGAAAGCTTGCTTCTGCTGGCAGAGAACAGATATTGAATATGAATATGAATATTTATTAGAATACTGTTATTTGAATGGAAATGACAACCTCATTTTATAACTATAGTATTTACTTTGTGCCATATCTGCTAACAGATTGTTTGACATACAAATGAGCGTAACAGAGATCTTGGAGAAATTCTAAAGATAACAGATATGCAAGAAGATTCATACTATTCTCCAGGTGCAATTTATTCAGCCAAATTAGTATTATTAGCCTTAGATCATATTCTCAGATAGTTGATGTCTTATAACTAGCCTGTCTGCTACTTGACATATACAAGAAACATTAGGTATAATACGAGAACCAAGTTATAAATGATCAACAGTAAAAATCTATAGATTATCCTAAAGTCTCTAATTATAATGCAAGTAAGAGGTGTACACAATAATAAGAAGATACTAGTTGTCTGGGCCATGAAGTATCTAAAGATCGAGAGAATTAAATACAAAACCAAATAAAAATGGATTTAAGAGTAAAATTTCATCCGTCAAAGTAAATATCAATGGTCACTCTGGGAAAAGGAACGCCATACTAAAAGCAATAGTCAGCTTACTCTGGAGCATGATAGCCAAACGTTCCTAAAACTCGAGTAGAGTGCAAGCGTGCAGCAGTATCAGGAGACGCGTTAGTCAAGTTAAAGTCAGCAATCTTGGAGTTAAATTCTTCAAATACAAGGACATTGCTTGATCTCACATCCCGATGAACTATAGACGGCTGAACTTTTTCATGAAGGAACTCGAGACCTCTTGCAGCACCATAAGCAATCTTTACACGCTGATTCCAACTCAGTAAAGGGCCTGGCTCAGCACCTTGTACCCCTTTCCTCCCTGTTTGAAAGTAAACATGACTAAATTAGAATTACAAATTAAACCAGATATAGAAAATAATATCATCATAAATAGGGTTTTTAAGGTATCGGTCGCTTGGACTTCACTATTTTGAAGTGGGTCCCTCGAATGTTCATATCATATAAGCCCCTCAAACCCTTTAAGATGCACCAAATAGACCTCTCCAGTCAAATCTGGTATATAAAGGTTTTGAAGGACTTATATTATGATATCTACATTCGAGGAATCTATTCCAAAATAGTGATGTTTTAGGACCAATATCTTAAAACCTCTAAAGGAAAGAGATGACTTATTGTGGTTGCCTACCATGTAGAATGTCATGTAATGAACCTCTTGTGGCATACTCATAGATCAAAATTCTATTATTCTCCTCCAAGCAATACCCCAACAGTTTGACAAAGTAGTCATGCTTAAGTCTTGAAACATTTGATAACTACATAAGACATTGCCAGAGATAAGAGTCTACAATTATAATTAGGTGGAACTATAGTTATGACATAGTTTTTATAAGGGTTAATTGTGGATAGACCCCTGTACTATTGTCAAATTGAAGTTACTACCCTTAGTTCTATTGTTGCAAATAGACCCCCCTGAGTGAAAAATTTTGATCCTTTCTGAGAGGGTCTATCTGCAAAACTAGAAGTACAGGGGTAGTAAGTTTAATGTGGAGATAGTACAAGAGGTCTATCCACAATTAGCCATTTTTAGAAAGAAGAATCAAACCTGAGATTGGAAATCAGAATCATGTTCTTGAGAGGCGTTTGGGTCTAGTTTTTTTATTGCAACGGGCTCCTCTGAAGGTAGAAGAGCATAAAAGACTCGTCCATAGGATCCTTCACCGAGTAGAGCCCTCTGGCCAAAGTTATTGGTCATCTGATTAAGGTCGGCTAAAGAAAAAGTTGGAATATCAATGGATAACTCTTTCTTGGCAGCTCCACTCTTTGGGTTATTAGGCCTTCTTGGCTCTCTATCCTGACCTAAATTAGAAATGAGAAGTTGTGTTTAGATCTTAAAAATTGATTTAAAAGGCCAATATTTGAAGTAAAAAATAGAAAATTAAAACATAATAGTAAGACAAAAGAATTATTTTTAAGTTACATTAAGCTTGCATCTCAAACAAAAAAGAAAAAAAAATGAAGAATCAAATGATTCAGAATTGATATTACCCTACAATTAGGTGGTTTTTCACAACAAAAACCGAAATATACATCATGAGCTGTAATAAGCTATCGGTTGCAACAAAGAAAAATCTAACTACAAGTTACAACACTTATATTAAATGTATAGGAGAGGAAACAACATTCTTAAGGTGTAGAACAAAAGGTCAAAATGCCATAGAAAATACATCTAATAGGTTCATAATCACTTGGTTAATCCAAACCTTCGTCAAATTTAAATTTCATATTACCATGTTCATGGCGGATTGTCTATGTAGGCATCTTATTATTCTTTTTTCTGCTTAGAATTACTATAACATTGAGGTGCAGTATTAAAGCATGGGTTGAAATAACAATGGTCAAAACGATAGCAAAATCCAGATGCTGCAACTTTAATAAACTTCTGAATAATTTAACTGTACCATTTTTATTTGCCAGGAATCAAAAGCATTACACCGCATAAAGCTACTGGATCAGCGGAAGGTAAAAATAGAAAATGAAGACCAACAAAAAATGGTAAATTAAGCAAAAGAAAATTTCACCATGAGTGTTGCGATTGGGTGGAGCAGGGTTTTGATTTGCAGGAGGTCCATAGGTATCCTCTTCCGAGTCTCCACAGCACCACATGCTTAATGGTTGTGGATGAAGAAAATTGACACTGAGTACTTGAAACTCCTTATGAAAATTGTTATCTTCCTCTAATACTAGAATTGAACCTGGAACATAAACAGTTACAAAATCCCAATGTTCAAATTTGTAACCGTAATGGGAAATCCAGAAAATTCGCACCCAGTTTATGTTAAGATTTAACTGTCCACCGAGCACCAACCTAATCAAACATGAATTTCTTAGTTCGAGGAACAATTAAAGGAATCCTGTATAATCGACCTCTAAAATCCATGAAGACCACCTCTAAAATCCCACATAAGTTTAGCTTATACTGTTGAGGGAGGAATCACAGAAAAGTATATATGTAAATATCTCAAGAGGGAAAGTTCTCGCTCGGCGTGTAATAGACTACACCCTTATCTTTGGGATATAGAAGTTTTAGGTCAATTTTTTTCAGTATTGACCCGAATATGGGCAAAAAGAGTAATAAAAGAAATTGTCATAAGCAATTCGATGGTTCGCTGAAAATTCTTATATAACCAAATATTTCAGTATAAGCGCGGATTGAAGTATAAGGCCGAAGTAAAATTTTGGGGGTTTGGTAAAGAATTTACAGCCCTTATTCCCTTCTACACCTATGAGGAATAGAGGCATAAACTCTTGCAACAAACAGGCATAGGCAGTATTTAATCTACATAATGAACCAGACTCATGAACCATTTTAAGGAAATACGTCCATAATCTTTTTTTTTCCCCCTTTCTGTTTTTGTAAGAAATATACGTCCATAATTCTAAATGAAACAGAAGATCACTGTGAAATCGAATAACAAAAAAAAATTCAGAGTTTAATATACCTAAAATTAAGGAAAAATCCATCTATCTAAAAACAATCAGATAAAGGAGATTTCATGATCTTACCTCTAAATTGCAAATCTAAGGTCAATATGCCAAAAGAATTATAAAATTAATATTAATGAGATAAAAGACCCATCTTTACTTGGAATCAGAATGCGAAATTTACCGTAAAGCGATCAGCGGGAAGGAACCAGCCCTAATCCCGATCGCAATCCTCATGACCCCCAAAAAACTTAGAGCAAAATGGGAAATTATAGGTAAAAATACGATTTTTTTTTTTTTTTGGGATAATTTTGGGGAAACGGAGAGGCGTTCACAATGTTCGCGGGAAAATCGGTACTTATGAGCAACGGGAGATATGGCGGGGTCCCGTTCTAGCGCCACGTCAGCAGCAGCGATCGCGCATTAGGACATGCGCGCACGTATTCTGGTTTTTTTCCCCCCTTCTCGGGAAAAAAAAAATTATACGTAGAAATTCATATAAAAGTGAGGATAAGCTTGTACGTGGTTCAGCTCGAGTTGAGACTACAATAATATTTTTTAATATTTGTACCGACATAGCATTCTACTAATTATACATATATTGAGATTTGAGATTGATATTTGAACGAGTATCTAAATTGTCCGAGCAACTTGGCTTAATTGAGCTTTATTTTATTTTATTTTATTTTATTTTCCATTTTTATTTTTATTTTCTTTTATTTATATTTATATTTTATTATTGTTATTATTTTAATTTTTTGGGACAAAACGATACCATGACCAGAATTTGAAGTAGCTTACCAATTTTAAAAATGTGATTTATAAAATGAAGAAATAATGATTTGAATAGTTACATAAATGGTTCAGAATTTGAAACCAGCTAATTCTTCTACATCTACTTACTAATATTGAATTTCTATTAGAAACTCCCATCTTTTGTTGTAAACGCTGCATCAATCATGCGTTACAATTCGCACTTAATACAAAATTTGTTACTTTACCACTAAATATTTTGTTCAGAGAAATTTTAGCGTTCCATTTGCTGGCAATAAAAGACGTAAAGCTAGTCACAAAAAATTAAAATGAAAACAAACGGTTAAAAATTACAAATTGTCAGAATTCTGCCACCGACAATTGCAGACTCAAAAATAATGGATATACTGCAAATTTACCCTTCGTGACATTTAGAAGACAAAGTACTACTCCCTTCAGGTCCCCTGTCACTCCTACATCAGTTCGTTTGTTTTAAGCATTAGAAATATACAGAAGGAAAAATAAGTGAGAACAACCTTCGAATGTCATTCCTCTTTTTCCTAACTCCTCTGGTATGAGAAAATATACAAAAAAAAAAAAAGGGACATGCCATTGCTCTGGCTTCTCTGGTTCTCAGAAATAGCCATCAAAAGTTAGACGAGACCGCTCGAAAACCCTGCTTCTTCTTGAGTCAGGAAAAGGTTGGCCTGAAGTAAGTATCATGACACAGTTCGACCATAGCACACAGAATGAAGGTAGAGGTTCTTTGCCCACTTGTCCTGCGCATAAAAAAATAAAATAAAGACTAACGTCAAAGAGTAGCTTGGGCATTCAATGAAAAATGATCCATTCGGCAGTCAAAACTTTTTACCATATAACCATTGTGAAAGGTCTCAGAGGGATTGGCTTGGAGGAAAATGAGAGTACAGAAAGCCGGATTCTATAAAAAGCTGCACTTCTAGTTACAAATAAAATCACAATAAAAGTTTGGCTAAATTGCAAATAAACACTCTCTTAGTAATGCCTCAGCTCTTCCTGGATTGGGATTTTGAGAGGGACAAATTGCAGATAACCCCTCTCTCCCTCATGGGTTAAAGGTGATGAGCACTAATAAATAGTTGAGGGGTGATAAGCGATCCGGAAAGGATAGGTGAGGCGCTCATCTAAAAATTAATCTAAATGTCGTGTCAGTTCAGATCCCTGTAAGTAGTTACTAGGGCCTCGAATCTAGCAACAACCCAGAGGACTAGCTCCTGGTTGCAGCCAACCATTAGCCTTTGGTTATGGAGAATGACTTGGATGACACTGGTTACAGAAATTTCACATATAAGAGATGGTGTTGTGATCTATCCTAGAATAGAGTGAAGGGCGTCAACTTACTGAAATTTGGAGAGGAAAAAAATTCTTATTTTACCTTAACATGAGCGCTGGGGAAAGCAGAGGTTCTGAGGGTTTCCTGTGTTTCTTCCCCAGGCTTGCGCCGAGGAACACTTAGTATAAGAGCAGTCTGATCCCAAGTGGCCGCCACCGATGTGATCCTGTACCCATTATCCCAGCGTTTGTGGATGCCCTCGCTCGGATACAAGAAGTCTAACTCAACAACCTGTAGAGAAAGCAGTTAGATACAAACCGAGCAGAAATAACTCGATGTGCTTCGTAAATAGATAATAAGATGCAAAACGAGAAAGAAAAGGAGAATCCAACCTGATGACTAAATCCAGCATTGCGTGACATGATGACGACCCACTTGCATCCTGAAGTTGCCATTGATGTAACATGAAATCCTTCTTTCCACTTCTTGTTTATCCACTTATAGGGGAAAGACTCACTGACCTTGTACGATTGTTGCGTGTATGGGGTACCTGAACAAAGGATGTTAGCTAGAAAACAAAGTGAATTGGAAAAGAGAGCAGGCAAAAATATACTCAACCTATGATGGAAAATTTCAAGTTAAAATAGAGTACGAAAAATTAAATGGATGATACTATTGAAGAAAAGAAAAGAAGATGCCGTGCTCAATGAAAGACTGATGTTAATTGAAAGAACTAAAGGCTATTTTAAGTGCTTGCTAGTAATGGGAGAATAAGTTCTAAGATAGGCTACCAACATAAGATGAGGAAGTTCCTCCTTAGGAGGAAGAGGGGAATTGTTCATCTTATTATTTATAAATAAAGCAAACTGATCAAATTCTTAAAGACAATAACTCAAAGTCCTACTTAGGGAATGCTTTATTATTTCTTAATGAAAAAATTGATGTCTCCCATTCAAGATTATCCCAAAATACATCCTTCTGATATACATACATTTTGATAATATATGTTAAAACGAGACAAGATTACCATTTTAGTAATCACTTGATAGGCAATTTAGCATAAGCCACTCTTCAGCAAGGCAAGACGCAAAATAGTATGATGAAAGTACATAGGCCAGGAGGAATCACCTATGTTCAGAACTTTCAGATGACCTCACATACAGAATCCACGGAGAGAGCTCAAAATTCAAAATGTAAAATCAACAGGGAGACTCAAAAACCCGAAAGAATAATACATAGCTCATATAGCAGGACTGCTTATGAAAACCAACAAATGATTCAACTAACTCAAAATTTTGATTACGAAACTTAACGAATGCTTATCATGCTTCATAAATGGATTGTGTATCATGAATCCAGTGTTGAAAAAAGCAGGTTAAAGCGGTAAAAAAGCAGAAATCTAGGTGGACGCAGCCCTAGGCCGCTTTGCTTTGGCTAGAATTAGAGGTGAAAAGCATATATCGCACTTTTTACTCGCAAAGCCGCTAAAGGTGTGAGAAAAAGCATAATAAGCCGGTTAAGTTCACTTTTAAGTTTTAAACACTTATTAAAAAGCAGATTTAATTTTCAGAGGAACTGACCCAAACTCAACTCGTTTTTTAACCCGTTGAGTTAAAAACCGAATCTCCTCGTATTTGACCTTTCCGATCGCAAAAAAAACCCCAATCTAATCTCTTGGGTTCCTCTTCTCCGCTCTAGCCAACTCTGCCGCCTCCAACTACACATCCCTCTGCTTCTTTCGTTGACCCCTCCAAGCACAGCACTCCAACACAGATCCTCCAGTGAACTCCAGGGCAACACTACAATGTAGCTCTCCACCCCTCGACCACAACTCCAACTCTTCTCAAGCGCCTCCACTTCACTGCCTCCAGCCACTGACATCCGGTGATCTTGGTGCACACACGTATACTTATATGTGTATACATAATATACATATATACACACGAGCATAACATAATTTCGATTTTCATATTTTTTATGCATGTTCTTGTCAATTAATGAATTTAACATGAATTTTCATTAATTTTATGGAAATTATATTAATATCTGATCAGTTTGGATAATCAATATCAAGATGTATGAAATTGAGTTCAAATGAAATTTGAGTAAGCAAATTGGATAGGTTAACCAGTTTAATACACTAGCTTTATGTGGATCAAACTATAAGGAATTGTTAGCAGAAAATTGAAGTGAAGGAATTGGTCCAAATTTATGTATCTAATTTAATGCTTGTTGTGTTCAAATTGATTACTTGATCCAATCCAATTCAGTTCCATGTAAAGGAAATTATCTACCAACCATTCTTCTTATGGTAGTGTTAACTCATCTTTATCTGGAATATACAAGCAAAAGAGTTATCCATTGAAAATTCCAATCATTTAAAGTTTAAGTTCGAAACCTGAGTTTTTCATCTTTGATTAAATTGTTAACCATGTATCATTGAGAGAGACTTGAAAGTTGAAAGAATGGGACCAAGTAACGTTCTTTTTGACACAGATATATCCTTTCATTCTCATGTAAGTTTTGCTTATATGTTCAGTACTTTGTTAATATTGTGTGATTGTTACGTGTCTATTTCATACTTAGAATCTTTATAAATCAGCAAATATACATTTGTAGAATTTTTAGATTTTTCTTGAATTTTTCATATTTTTAAATATTTATCCATATTTAAATTTGCCCTTTTTTACATGATAGGTAATAATTTATCAGAAGGGAACTACAATATGATCAGATAATGAATATAAAAAACAGGGACCAACCTTTAGACATTACAACAAGAGAATTCCCATTATTCGCACCAGCAACAGCATTGATGTAGTAGTTTTTCTCCCATTGTTCCATGATCCATTCCTGCACAATGGAAAACGTGCTGAACAAGTACACAGAATTGAAGTCATAAAATAAAGCTGAATAATAAGTAGGCTAGCTCATACCTTGTTAAGGAAATATGGTGATAAATCATAAACCTGTGAGGTGAACCCAGTACCAGCATCCATAACAAGAGCCCACAGATTGGCACAATTTGCAACACAACTTATAAGCAGGCCATCTTCAATTCCTCTCTCAATATGTTGTGCCAAACGTGAATCTCCCACATTGTAATGGTACCTGCTTCGGAAAGGTTGATGAGTATAATATGGTAAAAAAAAGAGAGAATTAAGACAATGAAAAGAATATAAGAAACATTCTTATTTTAATCTACTTTCTATGGTGTCTAGTGGTATATCACGCATTTCTAGATCAGTCCCCTCGAAACCGACAACGGTTGGAAATAGATGTCAATAAAAAAACAAACTTTGACTTCAAATCGCATTTCAGCTTATCCCAAGACAATTTACCTCTGCTTCATAGGTACTCTCGCATTATACACTGAGATCCATTGAGTGGCAGGAACACCTATACGAAGCTTCTTCCTTAACTGACCATCATCTTCTTCATCAGCATTCAACCTACCCCGTTTCTGACCGACCTGAGAGGCAATGTGCTGTAAGGAAATCTCAAAGTACCCTATAGGTTCTTAACGAAGGAGAAGAAACAAGCGACAGTAAACATTATGTATCAAGCGGAGCTGCATATTACCTTCAGTGCACCATCCGTGTTGATTGGTCTTATTGCTGGATTTGGTCCAATTAACCCATCAAATAACGATATTAACTTAGAATAATTTGGTTCCTCATCAAACTTCATGTTGACCACGATCTCAAGAAATTGCTTAAAAGGTTGAGGACACGAAACACAGAGTAACTCAGGGGATGTTGACATCTTTTTTTTGCAAACGAAATATGATTTTGCTTCACCCTATGACAAAATGTTGCAAGTAGAAGGATTTCTGAAGATTAGTCCCAACCCTTTATAAATTCTCAATCCATAAAAATTAATATTGTAAGAGATCTAACCACCTGGAAACCTTGCCAGGGTAACCTGCCTCTCTGAAGAAAAATGAGAGTGTAAGCAAGAGATTCCAGATCATCTCTCCTACTTGCTGTTCTCCCCAAATGTGCATGAACACTAGCATATCTAACAGTTCCCCTGCGGTAAATGACAAGGTCAAAAGCAATATTCAATAAATAAATAAAGGTTACAACCTACAAGAAGAAAATAATAGAAGACCTGAAAACATCTGGACGTTGATCATATTCTATATGCTGACTGCTTCCAGCATCTTTCCATTTTGTCGCTGCAGAAAACATTAACCAGAACCCAATTCTAGAATGAAAAGCAAAGCCTCTAAATTGCAGAGAAAAAAAAATCAAGAAGAGCCAAGCTACGAAAGAAGTTAAGATGTTACAATGACTAATTACAGATCTCACCTAACCCAAGGTCAACAAGGAATAGCTTCTTTTCCTGAGGAGTGTTGGGTTGACCCAGTAGAAAGTTCTCAGGCTTTACATCACCATGGACATAACTAATATGAATAAAGCAACAAGTTGAATTATAAATTACAAAAGAAGCTTTCTTCTAAACAAATCTGGTAAGTGGTAATTCTGCATACTTATTTTGAGATGAAAATATAATCTTATTAAAAAACAATAAAGATTTAATGCTCACCCTTTTGAATGCATCTTTTCGAGTATTGAGATAGACTCAACAGCAATACACGCAACCATCTCTGATGTCATTCTGTGTCATGGAGGCAATAATATCCAATGGTATAATGGATTAGCATCTGATTGATATAACACTTAAATGTTCAAATAAAAGTAACAGGTTTATATATAACAGTGTCATGACTCATTACCAAGCCAGTATTGCCTACATTCCACCAAAATATTAGCCATCTTTCTTATAAGATGATGTTTGAAATGCTCACATTTAGATAACCCATACAATACTAAAATCAAAAAGGCTCGCAGACACCCATCTGTTCAGATAATAATATAATACTGATGCTGACAAGGAGTAAAATGTCTTTTAACTAGCTGATATAAGTTTTTAAATTATGCATTTAGACTCTCTACTATTGGGTAATGCAGACAAAAGGATTACTCACTAGCTAAGGTGGTTAGAAGCTTCTATAATGTGCTGAAAATAGTCTGAAATTATGATGAGCTTGGTTTCAAATAACAAGAGCTGTGGCCAAGATGGCATGGGCTTAGCTGTGCCACCTTAGGGACGTCATCAGAGCCCACGTGTCAAACTCAAACTTGGACCTCACAACAGTCAGGTCAGTCTATCTCCCACCTGTGAGCTTGACAGCCAAGAAAGGGTGCTCACATTTGTAGGCTTCCACACTAGTGGCCTGGTATATGCCAAATTTTACCTGAACGGCGCTCATGCCATAGAAAACCACAATGGTCTCAAGTTCCTAGTTCCGGCAGACCAAGTCGCAACATAATGAAATTCCTACCTCTCGCAACTCATGTATCGTCCAATAAAAAGAAGAAGAATAACAAAATCACACAAAAAGAATTCCCACATCATGCAAAATACAATTCCATGGACCGACAGGTATACAGCTCTGTTTCCTAAGGAATCTAACAAGTAATGAAGTCATAAGGCCCCAGCTGCCCACTATATTACAAATGCATGTATGTGTACGAGATAAAATGGAAAGTGTTAGATTCTGATTTGTTGTAACTGATAAAAATTGTTACAGGACATTCAGTTTACAAAATATATGGGTCAAACTAGAGTAAAAGCATAACTAACCGATGGCTATTAGTATCATGTAATATACTCACATTTGTCCAGAAGAGTTCCATGCATCCCATAAGCTAGGACCAAGCATATCCATAACCTGTAGATAAGAAAAGAATCTGAAAATAAGAAGAATGGATTGCTAGGATCTTGTTGCAGAAGCACAAATGTTAAACCAAACTATGAAGCAATTAGTGATGCATGGGTAAAGACAGTAAATGCATTAATTCAAGGTGACATAGGAAAACCATACCATTATATAGTAATCACCTTGCCTCCCTTTATAGTGTACCTTAGGCACCCCATGACTACCACCTAGAGAACTATTAAATACAAATAACAGGAAGTATATATCAAAACTATATAAGATACACAAGATGAATTCTGTATAGAAGAGATGCTACACGAACCTGTAAACTTGCCATTCATATGGAGGACCATAGTTACATCCTTTGCTGCTCCTATGCTCAAATTTCAATGCAACCTATAAAGAGATAAGAAAACAAAAGGAGGAAAAGTAAACGTGCAAGATATGAACACAGGTATGATTATTAAGTGGAAGCAGCAATTCCAATCAAAATAGACGTTATGAAAATCATAGGAAAGATACCTCTTGAGCACCAGCACCCACAGCACGTTCACTGCCACCAGAAACACGTCGACCAACAAAAACCTGACCAAACCCACCTTTACCCAGCTTCCTCTCAACTTTATACAGAGGAGATCCTCCTACTTGGACCTAAGTTTGCAATAAAGAAAAAAATAAGAGACAATCATCATACATGCCCACCATGAGATAAGCTGTTTTAGCACGTCAGACAAAAACAAAACCATGTAAGTAAAAGTGATGCATAACATAGAACTACTTTCAGTTCACATCAACGAAAATTTCAAGAGCTAATCATCAAAAGTAGAAAAGGGTTCCATCTAAGTCAAAGCAGAAGAAATGACAGGCAGTAGAACAAAGGACAACAAACTAGCATTTGATAGTTAATGTCAGTCTGTTGCAATACTTTGTTTCATCCCCTGTTAGTGCATATGAACTGTGATTGCATGTCATATCAGCAGAATATTAAACCACGACAAACAATGCATAATTTATGCATAAATATGCATAAATATTTATGCATAAATATGCATAAATATTCCCTGTTAGGGCATAGTTAAAAGGATTTATCAGAACTCTAAAGTGTGAATGATCAGCAAGATTGAGTGGGTTAGTTTTGAGTGGCGAAGGGAGTGGATCCTAGAGAGACGGTCCACCTCACAGAAGCACAGAACAATACTTGAAAATATATATTTAAAATTAAACCCATTAGAAAACCTTACTTTATCACATTACAACATGATGGTGAAACATGAATCTCACATTTGAATAGGATGCTTAGCAACATGAGCCATTGGCCTAGGCAGAGACCTAGAGGGAACTAGACAGTGAGAAAAGGTGAGATCTTGTCCTGTACAACCTCTTCAACTCAAGGCTGTTGGGACATAGTATTATTTATTCAGCACTATATGCAAGTATATTTATATGTTTACATCAGCTGAATGTGGTAACATCTCCGCAGTTGAATAGCCAAATAATATATCATGCCAAGTAAAAATTATTTTCATGAAAAATGCCATGTAACACCAAAGTGTAATTCAAACCACAAACATGCATCAACTAAACCAGCAGCAAACCCGGAAATAAATAGCTGTCTCAGACTCTCAAAATCAATACTTTTATATATAGGGATACTAGATATAAGTTGGCAAAATGAACTCCCATCCACTGATCCAATGTGAGTCATGTGACTAGCAGAGTTGGTCTCATTTATGTTATATATACTAGTTACCAGGGGTGGATGGATATATAGGCTTAGGGGGGCAGTTAAACCCCTACGCTTACTAAAATTTACATTATAATTGTTTTTAGTTTTC